GGACGTAACCATGCCTAGTAGCCCCGTCATTTGACCCGATGATGGCGTGGAGACCGTCGTCGCCAGCTCCATCATTAATTCCATCTCGTTTGATTTCACCTTGCAGATTCATTTGCTTAGGTCGTAATGTTAGTACTTGTAATCCTTAGCCGTTGAATCGCTGACACATTAATGTTATCGTTGGTTTTCGTGTGATTACGTTGTGCGTGTTAACATAAGTTAAATACGTTCATTGCTCACAGGTGCCTCACAAGCGGTTCATCGTTCTTGCGCACTCTCGCGAACGCCCCTCATATCTTTGAGCTGTGAGCCGTTACATTGGTGTGTGTACTGTTGTTAATACATTTTATTAGGCAACAAGCCCACTGAACCACCTCATTCGCAGTTATTGGACAAACGTTGTGTATCGCCTTGCGTTGCTGTGTAAATAACATGTGTATACTAATAAAGGTTTAATTGCCCAAGTTTGAGGGATTTCACAAACGGCTTATCGTTCTTGCCCACTCTCGCGAACGCACTCATATCTTTGAGCTCTGAGCCGTTACAACTGTCAAGAAAAGTATAACTACAAGTTATTATCATTATCAAGGGACTAAACTGTCGAAACAACAATTATTCAGCGTTAGCTACCGTTGTGACGAATTTAGTTTTTTTCAGCACCTGGAATGGTCGAATTCGCTTGCAATTTATTTAGCCAAGTATTTTCATTACTTCAACGGATGAAATTGGAAAGTTCCAATCGCGTGGGAAACAGTTTCTCTTAAACTCTCACCGTTTTGTTCCTTATGTGTCTTCCACTTACTGATGGAGACCAATCACAAAGTATTTACATGAGTGGTGAACATGCATCTCTAGGTTAAAAAGATCAGCCTGAGACATTCAAGAAACCAAGTTTCAAGGATCTGCGGCACTAGTAGTGTAACGGCTCACAACTCAAGGATGTAAAAAGCGTTCGCGAGAGTGCGCAAGGGCGATGAACCTTTCTTTTGAGGTACCTCAGACTTGGGTAATTAAACCTTTATTACGCGACAACACAATGCGATTCACAATGTCTGTTCAGTAAACTGCGAATGAGGTGGCTCAGAGGGTTTGTTGCCTAATAAAATACAATACAATAGTACACACACCAATGTAACGGCTGACAACGCAAGTGTGTGAAAAGCGTTTGGAGAGTGCGCAAGAGCGATGAACCGTTTATAAGGTACCTGTGAGAAGTGAAAGTATTTAACTTATGTTAACATACACAACGTAATTATACAGGAACCAAGGATAGCATTAATGTGTCAGCGATGCAAAGCTATGGATTACACGTACTATCATTTTGACCTGAGCAAATAAATCCGCAAGGTAGGATGAAACGGGAGGAAATTAATGATGGAGTTAGCGACGGCAATCTACACGGCGTCGTCGGGCCTAATGGTGTTATTGGGCGTGGCTACGTCCAAGCGAGCAGTGGACCCAATGGCTAGAACAGGATATGGACGCAGAGGACGCGCGCGGCGTTGCAGCTACGCGGTCTCCAACGATCCCCTGACTGTATTAGTTATGTAGATAGAGAATTCTCTATCTGATTGGGGAATTCTCTATAAGTAGTTAATTTTTTTTAATCCTACGAGCAGTCTCTGTTGATCAGTAATACACTGTTTTCTTGGTGAAGAAACGTAAGCTTGTTAATAACAAATTTTATTCAACCCAATAATGCTTGCTATTTCGGCTGTTTCGCCTTGTTCAGAGTCTGGAAGGTTCAAATTAACACGCAATTCACTAAGTCAAACTATAGCACAACATCAGCAGAGAAAAACTTAATACATAAATGGTTGTTCGAATAGTGAAGAGCTTCTCTTAAGCACTCACCGTGTTGTTGCTCTAAAGTCTCCCATTTATTATTGGAGACCAGCTGCACGAGAAATCTTAACAGAGGTGAGGAATGTGCCTCACTTAGGTTAAAAACGTATAGGACACGGAGACATGACGTAAAAGGTTTTAAAGCGAAATTCACTTTTCACATCTGGCACAGAGATCGAAGACACGAACGTATAAAACGCTTCAAGTGTTTTGGATGAAGCCAAAAGTCGAAAAGTGAACTGCAAGGAGTAATGCTTCATGATCACTCACGCTTGACCTCGCCTCAAAACATATAAATTTTTTAACCTAAGGCAAATTTCACATTCTTCCTACTTCTGTTCAGCAAGCATGAGGTGTTATTTTATTTCTTTATTTACGTACAAGCTGACGTTTCGGCGGATTTCGCTTTCCTTGGAGCCTGGAAAGGTCATGTTAACTACAATCTACACGGCCAAACATCTCCATAACCAAACAGAGAAAATGCTAAACTAAAATTTCAACCACATTGAACACAGAGTCTTTGCACACACAGCGCTTTCTATGAGGCTTCCACTGAGTACGTCGCGTGAAGACCAAGCGCACAGAATTCACATGGAAGCGTAATGTGCCTCTCCCATCAGAATAACAGGTTTACATACTGCCCAATATCACGCGTGATAATGAGGCATTCTTCTCTGCGGTTCACTTTTGGTTTTCTGGAATTAATCCAGAACGCCCCGAAAGTTTTGCGCGCTTGTGTTCTCGATTCTTGTTCGAGGATCGTAACCCTTTTTTCAAAATCTTCTCCGTTATGTCTTTGCGTGCTATGGGTACATAGTGGAGTACTTGGCTTACGTTTGCCGACTAGGTGTTCTTTTATGCGAACACAGAGGGGTCTGCCCGTTCCGCCAATGTATTCGTCTCCGCACTTTTTACAGGAGATCAGATAAACTATACCCGAGCTCATGCAATCACCGTCTCTACCACTGGGGCATATTATGCAGTTTTCCGTTGCACATAAACGGTAGTATAGGCGGTTGCGAACTAGCTGGCGTCTTAGGTTACTCGGTGGTTTTTGAATTATCGTCAACTATAACTTCAATGATGCTGAGATATTTGCAAGACTTCGGACCGTAGGTGTATACGGTGGGAAACGAAAGCGCTATTGTCCTTTCCGGGAGTAGCGCGTCCACCACCACACCGCGTGGGTCCTTCGCTTCGGCTGTCTTTCAGCTAGTTTTATCGATCTCTTGCCACCACCAATGACCCGTCATCGGGATTGATCTGGTGGGGCCAAATCGGCAGTGAACCCAGTTAAGCTGAGGTTAGGTTAAGCTTAACTGGGTTCGTTGCCGATTTGGGCCTCCCAGATCAATCCCGATGAGGGGTGATTGCTGATGGCAAAAGATAGATAGAACTAGCTGAGAGTCAGGCGAAGCTAAGGACCCGCGTGGTGTGGTGGTGGACGGGCTACTCCCCGGAAAGGACAATAGCGCGATCGTTCCCCACCGCATACACCTACGGTCTGGAGTTTTGCAAATATCTCAACATCATTAAAACTGCTTTAATTCGTTGGTAAGAGTAGACAGCAGAAAACATGCAGTTCCCCTCCTCTTCGTCTCCTAATTCCGTCTTATTATCCATAGAGAACGTCAGTTCCACATTTCATTAATTGTCCTTATCAAATGACCGGTTTAACTTTCACTTTCAAAGTGTTCTCCAAAATCTTGAAGATGAGGTAACACTCATGGAAGACGTGCTGCGTGGTCTTCATAATCTGGGAATTCGTCTCTTTGAAATCCCGCTGATGAATAAGAGTTAAAACATCATAATTTTGGCTGCAAATTCAGCTTAGTAATAAAGCTCTTGGCGCTAATCAATCTCAGAGAGATGCGCGATGCATTCGACTTCAACAAGTGTCGTTAGAGGTGCATGCACATCCGGTCTGCACAATGACTCACCGTAGCCTATCGATCTATCGAATCTGTGCTACTACCCTCTTAGACAAGTCTGATACCAATATGAAGACCCTAGGGTGATGAAAAGCTCGGTGGGCCTAGGACGCGGAGGTCGATCACATATGGATTGCAAGGTGTCTGTAACCACTGCCCCACACGCGTCCAACTTTAGCTTGACTGAGTTCAATGGTGATCTGTGCTCCCAAATCATTAGTGCTTATGTGTGATTGCGGATAGTACAGTTAAGGTAAAAGCTAGATCAGAGGAAGATAAAGCACGATACTCCGTTGGTGCAGTGGGTAACACGAGCTGCGCGAGGTTATCGCTGGTTTGAAGCTCAAGTGAGCTTCCGAGTTTTGCTAATATCTCAGCATCCTTGTGGCTGTGTTTCGACTCCTTGAGTTTTGTGGACATCTTATCCAATTTGTTTGTGTTTTGCGATCAGGAATCATAATATTGTCGTAAAACAAAATCATTGCAGCAGTATGCCATATGTGCGTCCTCCTTTCGTTCCTATGTTAAAGTTGTTAAAGCTAAACTCTTTTCTTTTGCTTAACTTCGTGTTGGTTTCACTCTTTATTTGCCACATCGAAATCTTCTAACAAAAACAAAAAAAGAGTGAAGAGAGCAAATCAAGTTTTTCTTCCTAATCATAAAGCAATCAACTCATTACAGTATGAACCATAAATGGGCTCAGTTAGTATCTGATGAACAGCGCTGAAAAACGGACAGCATGATGATGAGACTGTTTTCGTCGTCTAACAGTTTACCTGCAAGGAACAGCATGCAAACTGACGTCAGAGTTTGCGAGACTGTGCAATCGAGTAGGTGGCTCGTTCCACGGCTTGTAACAAAAGGATTGCTATTTCAGTTGTTGATAAAACGACTGGAAAATGGTGAACCCTGACTCATTTTTTTATTTTCCACTATTTCATCTGTTTGAATAAATATGTCTTTGAATATACGACTTTTCAAAGAATTTCGAGTATAAGATGATTTGCTACGATTTCTTTGATTGGAAATGCAAACACCCATGTATTTACTGGCCTTAGTTTAATGTTATATTATGACTTCGTGAATAATGGAAAAATTGCTGTACACATTTTATTCGATGCTAGGTAGCAATGATGCACAAATTCGAAGGAAGAAGAATGGCGTTAATGTCATGTAATGTACAGGACAAAGTCGTCGGTCATCCATGAGGTTGCAATCTTATGGCTAGCACAGGTTGCATGCTTTGCCGCAGTATTGTCGCTTCTGCTGTGCGGTGTAGAACGTACTTGAGCAGAAGCCATTCGCCACCCATGATGAACAGCTAAAAGCGAAATTAATCGTTTCTTCTCGTAATAGCTTCGATAGAGCAACCAATCGCGACGGACACCAATATCCAAATTTTCTTATGCGTCTCGGACCATCAAGACATGGGGATCGACAGAGATTCTTGAAGTTTCTTAAATAACTAGCATAACATGGTGGCCGAGGTTAACACTGGAATGGAAAAGCGGTCTTTGGCTTGATTTCACAGTACGTTCTATTTTAGCTAGGTCTTTCATAATTCCAAAGTCTGCAAAGTGGCACCATAACTATCTGCGAGAATTAAAAACCTGAATTGATGCATCGATAGACTGTCGAAAGTTACAGGCCAGATGCGCATTTATTCATATCTAACGAGCTCGTCAGTTTCGAACGAATAGACAGAAGGTCATACAAAACTGGTGCTCCTTGTGCTTCTTTGGGAACATTTGAAGTATTAATTCAAGACATGCTCAGAAATCTGCGCTTTTCAAAGCACTCACAAAGCTTCGTACTGTACATTCTTCGATATCATAAGAAAAAAATTAAAGCAAGTTGATGGCGATATTCTTGTCTAAAATACTGAGATGATGCGATTAAGAGGACCAGGCTTACCTCGCTAAGTTGCCACATGTACCTCCACTGCTCGGTGCTGAAAAAATGAAAGTTTAACACGCTCATGACGATGTGAAGCAAATTTGACTCATGCGACCTTGAAGGGTTTTAATTTAAGTGTTAAATCTTGGCAAACACTTCATCTCAGTTCATAGCTAATCTTATTAAACGGAATAAAAGATATTAGAATCTATCAATTTCTGTCAATAAAATAAATAAAGCCTTACGATTCTACAGTGCTGATGTTTCAATCTCTTAATAGATACGAATATTTTTCATTTGCTTTTTCTATTGCAGTTTCAATGTTAAATATTCAAGCGACCGATCAGTGGTTTTCCAGCTGCCCATGTCGACGACTCCTTTGAACGGATCGTCGTTGTCTTCGATGCTGCGACGTTTACAATTAAGTTATAAAAACCGACTTCCTTTGAATTTTTGAGGAACCGTGGTGTTGTTTTTAAGACGTTTAAAAGCTGGAATTAAAAATGTTTTTCTAGATCAGTGGAACAAAAATTTTCCACAGGAATGTCAACTGTTCAAGATCTCAAATGCTTTAGTTATAGAGACTCTCCTATGAGACTTATCAGTGGCTGCCGTAAAATCCAAATATGGTATAATACGCAATGGAAAAAAGTCCTCAGCTTCTGATGAGCCATTAATTACTTACTGGTACTAGCAAAAGTGGTTGAGTTACCGCATAAACCGCACGTTGCCTGGCAGTTCTCCTAAAGACGGAAAATCGTTTACAGACAGTTCTGCATGAGATTTGTGATTATTCTGCCAATCTATGAATTGCCGTGCTTTTAATAAACCAAATAACATAATGTTCCAGCGTATTATTTCGTTAAAGATAACATCACCACCTCCATTTATTCGTAAACGATTCGAGTACGATTCGTCTGAAGGACGTACCTTTACAAAATCTTGTAAGTCAACATTGCGACATATGCTGACATCGTTTTTGCAAGAGGCAACTTTGTCTCGGCAATTTGGATCTGGTATTGATATGGTTAGCGATGAGATGGACAATTGATAAAGAGTGATGAATACAACAGGAAGACACTTTTTTGTTCGCACAATCCGCAAACGGCCGGACAATCCTCAGCCAGAATTGCTTTCCATGTCGGATCATCGCATTGTGCTTTCGTTACCGTTTCACACTTTACTCGAGGTGCTGAAGAAATCCTACGTTACTATCATTTCAGCGAAGCGTTGCTAATTTAGAAAAGAATACTGTCGCTAATTCAGCGACAACCGTGAGACTCTGGACGCGTCATTCCTTACACAAATAAGGGCAAAAAATTATGAAAAGCATGTGATCAAGAATACCATCCGGATACGACGATGTAAATAGCACCTAATGGAGGAAAATTACAGCGTTTAATAGAAGGATGAAAAAGGATAAAGCATTCCGCATCGATGCTGTTAGGAACTGGCTATACATTGGACTTAATTAAGCGTCGTTGAGCTCACTGAATGGGTATTTCCGTATACAATTGCTTTCTCAGTCCTACCGATGTATAAGGACGGTAATTCCCAAGTCCGAGTTTCTATAACCTCGGAATTAATCCAGTAATTCACCAAGTTCTTAATGAGCAAATAACAAACGCTACTTTGATCTTTGTTGACAGAAAAGCTGATATTTGGGCGGATTTAGCACAGATGTTTTACCCCGGAGCATATGGTCGGGCTAACAACCACGCGTTTACTGCAAGGCACTTCCGACCACTGCATACGCGCATCCCATATTGTATGATACTATGATGTACCATGTATACTACAGTGTGTAGTACTAAGTACTGCAATACCAACTATTGTTCTTGATAATATTACCATTACAATAATTGAGGGTAGTACAGTCGGTGTTAATAACGTCCGTGCTAGGAGATAACGTTTCGTTTTACTCTTCAAAACGTTTGAATACTGTGTTTGCGCTGTCATGGTTTAACTTCAGAATTTTGCTCATACAGGAGAAGTTGAATTGCCGCTAAATGCTGTGAAACTTTAGAATACTTATTCTTACTTACTTATTTATCTTAAAGGCTCACCATCTTTGTTTTTACAATTGTACGCTGGCGTAATGCAACAGTAACCGCACGTCTTTGGGCAAGTTTGCACTGCCACCTGCACCACCTCTTCGTCACGTTGATTGGCAGCATTCTGAATGGATAGAACCCGTTAAAATAGTAAAGATATTGTGAGGGCCCAACTAATGGACGCGTTCTTCAGGAAAAATAAGTGGATCAACGTTGCAATAAGTGCGATTTCTGGAATCTAGAAGACGATGGAGAGGTGTGTGGGCTCTATAGGGCAGGTTCATCTACACCTCGAGGATCAGTTGATGTCTAACCTCGCTAAGGTATTGAATGCTGCCCAAAAGGTAGATTCAGTTGTAATCCCGAATTAACCTCTCTTGGGCACTCTGAAGATATTTTCGACATTTACTCGCCGGTCAATGCAAATTACAGTTGGAGAGAGACTCGCCACTTCACGGCTGCCATTCTTCCAGAACGACAACGGTTGCTGAAACCGGTCGGCCAACTGGCAGAGGAGGATCAGACAGCCTCAAAACCCACTAATTCTATGGGCGTAACTTTTTTGAACAGAAAGGAACCAGGATTGAAAACTGCCATGTTTGACTTGAACAAAAATACTCAATAGAGATAATTGAAACTGTAACTTATCCATTATTCAAACATTTTCATGTATTTGTTGTTGTTTAAATTAGAAGAAATTTGTTTGGTAGCTCAATATGTTGCTGATCGGTGAAGAATTTATGGTAATGGTAAATTAAAATCAAGAAAATAAAAGAGCTTAAGAAACTCCAGAGCAATACATGATAAAGTTTATCATTACTAGAGTAAAGCCATGCAGTCGAAGAAATTATATGCACGAGCATGCCCCTCCTCCCTGTAAGCTTAAGACGACGAATGCAATGTGAATGACAAATATATTGCAGTGTGAGCCTTTATCCAAGACGATTACGGTAACCTGAACCGGTGCGGTTTGAAAAAATCTTGGCCATTCCTCTAAACAGTTTTCACCAGTACCAGCCAGGTGGAATGAGCAAATGTTCTTAGTGGTAGAGAGTGTAATAAGAGCATCCGACGAAACACCTAAAAATCTCCTAAAGAAACCTCACAGCAACCTTTTCCCAAAACAAACAACCTACAGAAATTCGAAATTTTTGGCTGCTTGTTCTTCAATTACTCATAGAAGGTTTTAATTGTTTACGAATTTCTATGTATTTTGTAAAGGAAAAATTGAAAAAAAGTTGTTTGGTAACTCAATATTTTGCCGGCTGTCAAAGAATGTAGAAAAGATATGTGGTAAAAAAAAAACGTCATAATTAAAGTAATGTTAAGCAGTGGAAGCCATAAGAAGAATGAGCGTGCTCTTTAACCATTCAAGTGTAGAAGGAGAGAGATCTCCCTTCTAAAACAAACTGATTACCTAAAGTCTGAAAGTGTGTGAAATGAGGAGCTTGTGGAGCGAGCCAATGACCCAAGTGAAAAGAGCGCAAGGGATGCTACCGATGGGGAGCTCACTCACCTGAAAGCACTTAGCGTTTCTCTCGTCACTGGTGCCGACCTTCACTGCCGCTGTGTAGATCACTAGGCACGTTGCACTCGAGAATTTGTCATTGCAGTTCACCGCTCTGTCCGTGTACTAAAAGCGCTATTCTTTCTAAAACTGCAGTAACCAAAGTCGAATGAATAGTCGTTTAAAATCTATAGTATATACGTGCTTTAGAATCAGCGCCAACGACTTCGGTGCAGTTGAGATCGGCTGGTGCAGCGGCCATAGTTGACTCCAATAGAGCCAGGAGAAATGCTACGAAAAGTATGCAGTGCATATTTATTCTGGAAAATGTACGTGCACTTTTTTTCTTGCTCAACTATATAAAGCGAAATGGTGAGGAAAGATGACAGTCAAATGTTGATGAAAAGAAAGCAAATGTAAAACAGTGAAGTAATTTTGAAACTACACTGATGCACTCAGGGAGGCCTTAGCAACAGGATAACTTTAAATAGCAACCGTATTAGAATCACACTGGGGTGAACGCTTATCCGGAACGCCGTCTTCTCACTTTTGCTAGCTGCATTTTTAAAGGACCAGTGCTTGAAAGTTTTTTTTGATGCCAGCAGCAGCTGTTTCTACTAGAATTCTCTATAGTTTCAATGGATTGCATACAATCTCAATAGATATCCGACATCGTCGTTACTGTTAGCCAAAAATAGAGAAAGCTGTTCAAAGTGGACGATGCTTTAGCGGAGAACGTGTTCGGCTCTTCGTATCATGGAGTACTAAATGGCGATGGTGACGAAGAACAGAACTGGGTTTGGAATCCTATCAAATTGCTGTTTCGAACTCAACCACAATTTGATTTTTTTGCTAGATACTATGAATTTCTCTAGCGCAACAGAAATAGTAATATAACTGCAACTTCTTCGTAGTATGTCAATGTGAGCTACATGAAGATCTATTGGAGGTAATTTTTTTTGCCAAAACTGCTTCATTTAGTTGGTTATGAGAGTAGACAAAAGTGAACATGCAGTTCCGCTCCTTTTCGTCTCCTAATTCCGTCTTATTATCCATTTAGACCGTCTGTTCCATATTTCATTAATTGTTCTCATCAATTGACCGGTTTAACTTTCACTTTCAAAGTGTTCTCCAAAATCTTGAAGATGAGGTAGTTTTTGCAGGTCTCAACTCTAACATCGAGGTTGCAGAAGGTGCTATTAAATCACCCTAAGAAATGTGCGTAAAGTTCCCCACATGTTAGAAGTGGCAAGGATGCCTTTTGACAGCAGAGCGGAATAGTATGGATGGATGTTGACCCAAAAGTAATTGCGGGCAAACCTTCGGTCTGTCAAGCGGCAAGCGGTTTCTCTATGAGGACCAAAAGTCTCAATGCCGCTCGCTTTCCTTCGCATAATTCTCTTTCATGTTCTTCTTAGTGAACATTCATTACTCAAGGAAGACGTAGTCTTTGTAATCTGAGCATTCGTCTCGTGGAAATCCCACTGATTTAACTTCTATTTACTGTCTACTCGCATTTGTCATGGTAACGCATGACTAAAAAAACTAATTAGCCGTGAATAAGAGTTAAAACATCATAATTTTGGCTGCAAATTCAGCTTAGTAATAAAGCTCTTGGCGCTAATCAATCTCAGAGAGATGCGCGATGCATTCGACTTCAACAAGTGTCGTTAGAGGTGCATGCACATCCGGTCTGCACAATGACTCACCGTAGCCTATCGATCTATCGAATCTGTGCTACTACCCTCTTAGACAAGTCTGATACCAATATGAAGACCCTAGGGTGATGAAAAGCTCGGTGGGCCTAGGACGCGGAGGTCGATCACATATGGATTGCAAGGTGTCTGTAACCACTGCCCCACACGCGTCCAACTTTAGCTTGACTGAGTTCAATGGTGATCTGTGCTCCCAAATCATTAGTGCTTATGTGTGATTGCGGATAGTACAGTTAAGGTAAAAGCTAGATCAGAGGAAGATAAAGCACGATACTCCGTTGGTGCAGTGGGTAACACGAGCTGCGCGAGGTTATCGCTGGTTTGAAGCTCAAGTGAGCTTCCGACTTTTGCTAATATCTCAGCATCCTTGTGGCTGTGTTTCGATTCCTTGAGTTTTGTGGACATCTTACCCAATTTATTTGTGTTTTGCGATCAGGAATCATAATATTGTCGCAAAACAAAATCAGTGCAGCAGTTTGCCATATGTGCGTCCTTCTTTCGTTCCTACTGAGTAATTTCGTTAATCACTGTGGAGAACTTTGGAAGAATGGTTACGTCCTGTTGGACAGCTTTTCTACATTTTTAGTGGCACCTATCCCGAGTCGAGCGATAATTGATGGCGCCACAAAGCTGTTAAAGCTAAACTCTTTTCTTTTGCTTAACTTCGTTTTGCTTTCACTCTTTATTTGCCACATCGAAATCTTCTAACAGCAACGAAAAAAAGAGTGAAGAGAGCAAATCAAGTTTTTCTTCCTAAACATAAAGCAATCGACTCATTACAGTATAAACCATAAATGGGCTCAGCCAGAGTTGATTCAAACACTGCTAGGAAAAACACCATGAATATTATGAAATGCATAGTTTTCTGAAAAATTTGGCTTGCAAATTTACGCTTTTTAAAACTGTATCCAGCCATTAGATGAAAGCACATGGCAACGAAACGGTGATTAGAAAGAAAAAAAGGTGGATCTATAACTGTCATTTTTTAAATACTGTGTTTCGCACCGAGGTTACCAACAACGATATTGTGGAAGCAATGTTAGAACTACACTGGTGCACTATAGCCGATCAGCTAAAAGTTAAACTGGAGTGGCAGAAGTCACAATATGGGATTTGGACCTTTGATGGAGAAGCTGCACTAGAATACCGTTTTTGCGGTGATATTTTCCTGAGCTCGCTTTTTAAGCACTATTTAGAGGTTGTTTGCTGTCAGCAGCTGTACCTACTACAAACCACGGTGATTTATACGGTCTTCAGAGACGTTTCCAATAAACAGCTCTCATGAACGTCACTTTGGATCATACAAAACAAAAAGCTGTTCAAAGCCAACGATGAGCCGACGGAATGTGTGCCTAGTTAATTGTGAAGAGGCCTTGATTTGTAAGCACGTACTGTTACTGTAAATGACGCTACTAATAAAAAGCATTTAAAAAGGGCAGTTACTGTGGTTCTTTTTCTTCAAGCGAAGCCTTAGCAGCATGACCTTATCACAACTTTCGCCTGTCTACTTTCACCCAGACAGACGGTTGCTAGATAAGATGTACGGTTAGAACTGCTTAAATCTGGGTAGTATTTCTAGGATATAGAGTAACTGGGTCCCTATAATAATTGCAAGTCGTCCAAGTTGTTCATTTCATTTTCCACACATTTTTATTCACTTTCTCGTCGTAACACCGTAACTAATATTGGTTTCACACTCGTGCGATTTTTGGCTGTTTTAAAATCCCTCCATCTTCCCTGCTCTCGGAATGTAGGATACTGTACATGTTCACATTGCGACCCAAATGTGCTCTTGCTAGAGCTTCCCTGTAAGTTCACCTTAGACAGTATACCGCTGAGAGCACTTTTCAAACCGCTGTCAGATAACATTTCAATGAAACAAAACAGAGATTAACACAGGACTTTATTCCACTCTATCCGTCTGCAATTAGTTTCATAGTTGTCTTGCCGGCTAACTCTCCGTAGCAACTCTTGCTCGCGTCACCAGTGTTACTGATTGGAAAGTACTCGATAGCCATTTCTTCCTGAGGTCCTTTACCGGGCTAAAACACAAAACAAATGAAGACGGAAAAAATAAAAGTGTTCGCATTATTTCGGCTGTGTTAACCAAATATGGCGTGACGAGGAGACTGATATATGAAAGCTGTAAAACAAAGAGGTGTAGACTGGCGAAGTGTTCTAGCCGAACAACATAAGCTATTTGAACAATCACCATTGGCGGGCACTGCTATGGATAATGGAAGCCAGCAATATTCACTCGATTCTTCACATAATGAAATCATGAATCTTAGCCATTTTATTTACTGCCTATTTCTTTAGATATTTGCAAAACTCCGGACCGCAGGTGCCTGCGGTCGGGAACGAACGCGCTATTGTCCTTCCTGGGGAGTAACGCGTTCACCACCACACCAGGCGGGTCCTTCGTTTCGCCTGTCTCTCAGCTAGTTCTATCGACTTTTTTGCCATCAGCAATTACCCGTTAACGCGATTGATCTGAAGGGCCTAAATCGAAATCATGAATATCATCCTTAAAATTGCTGGTTAGCGTTCATCTCTTTACCGTAATCACAATCTCTTAGAAGTCGCACCTTGGAAACTTTGAAGTTTGGGAGATTTTGTTCATAGCATAAACTACACAGAATAATTCAAGTCGCTTTCATGCACAACGTTGGAGCCGCCAGATAAAGAGTCTATTTATAACGAGAAATTGGTAACGACATTAATACCAGTGACGTTATTCAAGCTACTGTAGTTGAATAACTACTTTTTCTACCTTCAGCTTCAATAAAAGCACATGCACAGCATTGATTTTAGAATTCAGCCGATTAGGTCTTTTACGCGAGTAATTTTGGTTGTTGTCACAGGTTTTGTCAGGGAAGATTCCGTAGTTTAGGTGATGTCAACACCATGTTAAGACTTTTATGAACATTGTTGGCCTTGAAGAATCGCTGAACACAAAACTCTCATCGTCGAAGTGACTTGTACTATTCTATTTGCTCATGATTTTCCTAAATCATAAGACGGATTGCTGCCACTCTGTCCCAATAATTTTATCATTGGTAATATCCCATATTTACAGTTCTTGATTGCAAAGAATTTGACGAGATGATTACGTAGTGTAGACGGTATGTGAGAAGTTTCACCAGCTTTTCGCAGGCCCCATCATAGTAGGGAAATTGGCCAATGTTGATCAAAACTTAGAAATAACTCAAATGAGAGTGAAGTAATGATACGACTCAAGTTGTTTTGCAAGAAGCTTCGACACAGTGTAGTCTTATATGGAGCAGCTAAAACATCTTGCGACTAATCAGTGTGGGCAAATTAAGAACATTCTTACGAAAGCCCTAAATTTATGTCGAGTTTACAAGTCGTAGTTTGTGAAAAGGTCAGCATGATTGTTTCGGAAAGTAGGGCTCCCAAGTACCATGTAGTTATGAAAAAACACAATTTCATCGACATACCTGTCTGGTGATTTCAATGTCAACTGTGCGACCGACTTCAATGACACCAACTGCTTTGTCAGTCGGCACTGAGTATTTCGATTGGTCTTGAAAGACTACCTAAAACTACGCTTTTCAAACGACGTCAAGTGGTACGGACAAGGATTGCTGTGTGAAACTGGTTAGATGTTCACTGTGCTTTGAAAATAGCTCTTAAAAACCTCACTCTCCTCAATTCGATGAAAATACCATTCAAGGCATACCGTTGGAAATTACGCATTTACTTCTAGTACGCTTTAATTCAGAATGACGCCTTTTGTTCATTGCTACATCCGAAGCAAACATGCCTTAGAAATGATAGTTATCGATAGAATCGCTATCACTAACAAAGTAGATGGACGCGCTCTAACATTTTTAAGGTGAAATGATTGTCGCATTTAACACTGAATGACAATGTAGACATAATGGATGTTCATTTTTACATGGTTTTGCACTATATCAACGATGTTTCTGGAATATGTCCTTTGAGGATACTGGTAATTTGTTGATTACTATGATGCATGATAAAATTTTCCGCTGTATGTTTTGGGAGCTTCTTAGTTACAGTATAGGAGCGCTTGGATGGATCGTTGACCGGCGCCTAAACGTTCGATAATCTATGCTGTGCTGTTTAGAACTGTCTAACCAGAACAGCGACGATTGCACCAGAACATAAAGCCTTAAAAGGAGCTATCATCGCACTGTGTTGGATTAGAGGAAAGCGTGGTGTCACAGGAACTGACTCATGGCGTTGTATCGCTTTAGCAAAATTATTCCATTGCATGCTTATTGTTTGTTTTACGATTTTTTGGGCAAAATTTAATATTGTACAGTGGCTGTATTCGCAAACAATGCCATGCTATTCGATAGCACAACTGCACTCGTTTAGGCATTCCGATACTCAACACCGTGCTGTGCAGAGAATGAACAGTTGGAGCCATGAATCGTTTTCGGACCACCGAGTAGCTTTCATTTCAATATGTCACATTTGTCGAATACAATGCATCCCATCTTCCAATAGTGCTACAGATTCTTGGAATATGTCTGCATCTGTCAAATGTTCTTTTTGGAAAGACATCAAATGTATTTTGTTTCAAACTGAGCAACTTAGTCATTTTAAAGGATCATTAGGCGGCAAAAAAAGCAGGAGAGTGCGTTAGGTGCTTTTGAAGTACAATATTAAGAGAGTGGAACTAAGTGTTTTGAAGTACTGTCCACGGAGGATGACTCATATAACATCGAAGTAGGAAAGAATGTTGGTACCTTATAGGCAAGATTCCTGTCGCAATGATTGATCAGTTTATGTTTCGATGTGCCACCAGAAGATGTGAATCGGCATTTTGCAGGATTAATGCTTACTTCGTAACCCATTTCTAAATAAAATGATTTTTAAAGTAGCATAGTTTTTATATATGTCCACGATTGTAAATATTTGTCTGTGCTTATCATTTCGTTAAGCAGCAAATCAGTCAAATGAATCCCTTACCAGTATTTAAGCTGAAATCGCCATTCATTTGCTTTTCATCAGCGACTGAACAGCAAATCTTATCTGAATACAGAGATGTGAAAGATAAACAAACTCTTAGGGTACGCTGAATATTCGAGTAATCACGTGACACAATTGTAAGAACTCCTGTTATTTAATCTAATTCTAGCATATTTAGCATATTCGCTACGACTCCTCTATAGGAATCAAGGGAGGCAAAGGGATATTACATCAGCATGGTATGACCCCTATAAAGGTCATGTCTTACCGATGGTTTATTTTGGAGCACTTAACTTTTTTACCTGTATCTTTTATAAATAATCGATAGCCCCAGATATTGTGGCAACCATAATCTGCACAAAGGTTTTAGTGAAATAAATGATCGGTTACGCTGGACATAGCACAGTGCTTGGAGGTTGTTCTGCGGTATCCACATAATCGTTGGTTCGCCAAGGTGCCCTCGAGTAATGAACTCCGTCTTCCTTCTAGAGCAATTAGTGAAAACCACACTTGTCTGGAAAAAGAGAATGAAAGGAAACTACTGACCTAATACATCAGTAGACACCCTGAAGTTATTTTGTAGGTTGAATATGTCTTCGATCACCTATGAGATGCTTAACGCATAACATTGTAGGTGGACTATTTGCGTAGCACACCTGGATAGACCAAGAAGACGAAGTGCATTGCACTTAATGCACACAATTTTCGATGATTGTTCTGCCATACACAGCTTTTGTAGCAATTTTTGCGCTCATTTGATGGCTTGCTGCCCATAGATTTTATGTCAGGCACAACCTGCGAAGGGGTGTTTTCTTCATTTAATAGTTTACAAAAAACCTGTTCTCACCCTAGTTCATTTTGTGGCGAAGAACTATTGCTGTTAAAGGGAAGCATGCAGAATGGAAGGCATGGATGGCGAAAAAGGCACAGAAGCCTTTGTCTAAGATAGCGTGATAGAATACTGAAGAAACTTCTTCAGAGTGCGCCGGCTGCTGTTACAGAGCATGATCTTATTAATAGAATTCAAAAAAAGTTTGTTTCTGGAAACAGTTATCAAGTCCTATTACTGCAGGTTCACATATATTAACAATAGTTTCAATTTTATTCTACATGACCCACTATCGCTGCCACTGCTGTCCAGAGCTCAGCACTTCTAAATTCTATTCGTTTTCCTCGCACTTATTGTCCACAGTTATCAAAGGTTTTCGAACATTGCGCATGTTGTTTCGGCAGCTTTCTCAGGATATCGAATTCTTTACGAATTTTGTTAAACGCTGGTCGAGTCGATTCTCTTCTCAACCTTGGGTATAGCCGGGGTAAGGTGTTCCCACGCAGCTTGGAGCACAGGGTTGGGAAGGGGGTCAAAGTTGCGCCTATGCTTCCTGATAGACCGCATTACAAATGCAACCGAGGTTCCGAGTTTTGCTCATGTGACAGAACCACTGTAGCTATATTTCATTTTCTATCTTGCATTTCAAACATTGTGCTCAAAGTCGTTTATCTTGCGTTAGAAGTTTATAACTTACGCGCAAATACAGTTTACAAATCCTACCTTGATTAATAACCTTCACGTAGAGCTTTGTGCAATGAATGTACGAATTGCATGGTTAGTATTGAGACATTCTATCATTGTTTCCTACAACCGTTGCTTCTAGTGAGGGACAACCTGTTTGGCATGTTTTTCAGCGTATTTACACAGTCGCAGTCCCTTGATATTATCTTCTATTCATACACACCTTCTTTCCCACCAATACTTACTTCTATTTCGAGATATTGGGAAGAATGCTGCTAAAAGTGCTTCCACTTTCAACGTAGCGCAAGCAGATGTCCATCATCGATGTCGTAGGCATTCGGCAAGCTTTTCCACGCAATTTTATTTCAAAACTTTTGTTTGTTCAAAGAACTCTTCTCAGTTACCAAGAAAAACCCTTACGTAGAGCCGTCGTCTAGTCCTAAAGTCTCCAAGAACAGCTTTCCTTGTTTGCAGTTTTCAATAACTTGATGAGCTAGAGGAAAGGATAGCAACGTGAACTGCGGACATTCTAGTAATACCCCTATAACTTTACATTTCGAGAGCATTACAGTGCAGTGATTGTGCTGTGTTGTTCACCGCTTCTTTCCCTGGTGTATAGTTAGGTTGAAAACTCCTCGTTTCTTTTGCATCAACAAATAAGATAGGTCATCTATTCTCTGCCGTAATTCTTCGGCAAAGGGCAAACGTATCTGGCAACTATAAGTAGGGATCAAGCTTAGCACAATTGGCCTTCTCATACGGAAGTCACAGCAGCTGTTGATCGAGTGCATTTTACAACAAAAGTAGGTTAATAGAAGAATAAGTGCCTGTCAAGTAAATTAGTTCACTTCATCTACTGTTATTCCATGATAACCAATTGTGTACAAAGAAATCATCTACAGCTCTTTGCTTTCACTGGAATATAGGATTCGGTCGAGTAAATATTTGCTGTCTTCTATTTCCTTTGTATTCTTACCGCCTACTGGTAATTGTGTTTGATAGATGTTCTCATACGTATGAGTTCCGATAAAGCGGTCTGCTATTGGTAAAGCCAAATTCTTGCGCTGCTGAAAGCGATGAAGTCATGAACATCTCTGGTGTTTTCGATTAGAGCGTGGTTAATCAAAGGCAAACAAGCTATCCCTCACAAACTTAGAATCTGGTAACCTTGAAATTTTACTGATTATTGACAATGTGACAACCTACCACTAGTCTTCCTCTTTTGGCAAACAGGCAGGGTTTGCAATGCATGCTTTGAATTATACTGAGTTTAATGCTAAACACAAAGAGTTGGTTATCACATATTGTGATTTCTTTGGTACTCTCAAAGAATATTCTTCGAAAATACTATTTTCGAATATAAGCCCAGTAAGGAGTCGGAAGGGCTTAAACCACAAGTTTTCGTTCTAAATAACTAAGCTTTTATATGCTTGGTAGCGATCCCTGCAATAAAGTTATTCCTCAAAGTAGCCTATGTAGTACAGCGCCTGTCTGTGGTAAACACGTTGACAGTTGTCGTCTGGCAGCTGCGTCCACATTTGTCTGGCAGCAGGAATTCCTTGCGTCTAAAAAAACTACTTTTTCTCCAAATTCTTGTTACTTTTTTGTTGCTCTGCTATTCTTCGTAACTTCTTTCTTGCTTAAGAAATTCACTGTTACTTCTTAAGGATTCGAGCTTATGTTGTCCTCAATACTTTAATTTAACGTCAACGTGAATAATCAATGCCTTGTCTTATTTATAAGCCACCTTTCAACAATCTACTGCAACAGTTCAGCTACTAGCGTTTAAAACTAGGTGTCCCAAAATCCTCCAACAAGAAAGTGTGAAGGCAAGCAATAGCCATCACCATTCGAGCAAAGCTTCAGAGCCATGTCGCAAGTAGTTTTCAAGAAATGTGGTCCTTCGGTGTTTAGAATTAAAAAGGTGATGCTTAGGTTACGAAGCCTAAGATTATCTTCGATATTCACTTCTTAACTTATGGTCTTCTATTATCCTAATTTAATTAGTGTTATTCTATACATTCTAAAGGCCCTTCTAGTGCAGCAGTTAGAGGTGGGCTCCAATACATACATGGTCACTGGTTAGATACCACACTCCAGGTTCATCAAGCCTTCCATCTCTCCGGAGTCAACAAATTGATGCCAGACTTGTAAAGACAGCAGCACTGACTTGACACAACGGTAGGTCACCTCTAGTTTTCATATAGGCCAGATATGCACTCAATCACCTGTAATGATGCTTTATGAAGTCGAATGGATGACGCATCACTCAATGATTGATCGACGCCAGACGCGTTGCTCTTAATCTCATTCACTTTAGAACTTTATTTTAAATATGACACACTACTGGTCAGTGAGCAGCTAGTGTATTACGTGTAATATAATTTAACGGGCGTTTTCAATAAACATCACATGTTTCATTAATGCTGCTAAAGCTAAGAATTATAGAAAAAATTCGCTTCTCAGCTCCTTAAAGGAGATTGCGTTACTCAACTCAAGCCTTGTTGCTACTTGGCTCGATAGCACAAAGCATCCTCGTTGTGGTAGCAGTTCAAGCCACAACAATACTTTTTGCACTTCGACTAATAGGAAAACAATACATCCATAAGGTCTACTTGGATGTGTAAATGTTTCCGTTTCGTTAGCTGAGGAATTCATCACATTCGCCACGACATCTAATTTTGAGTGACTCTCGCTCAGGACGACGCTTAATCCTATGGCCACGGAAAAAATGAGGAACTCGTCAGCATTTTTAATAGATCATCTGGTTTTACGGCAATCAACGATAATATTTTAGATAGTCGGAGGAATAACAGGCAGGAAAATAATGGAAAAGTTCTGGAAAACACTTAGCTTTACAGGCCTTGATCTGTACATGATGTTATACGCTACAATATACTACAGTTTTCTAATGAAACACTTTGCTATCACATGGAAGTGTTTTGTAACTTCAAGCGGATAAAGGCAAAACAAGAACCACAGTGGTGCAGCGGATAACACTTAAGCCCTCTAAGAGCGTAATCTCAGGTTCAAACTTGTCCAAATCTGAGTTTTGCAAATATCTCGCTAAGACTGTGGTTTTTTGTGACTTTTATTCAGTCTGCTTCGCTATAATCCATATTCGACCACCCCTACGTGATTCCAAATAACAATTGAAAATTAAAAAGACAGTGATTCGCCAGTCAATAATTGGGTTTTCCATGCCTCCCATAATGGACTGTGCTGGTTTTTCGATAATTACCGATGAATTTCGCTAACTAGAGTGCTTAAGAAGTAGAGAGCAGGTTTTGCTTGCTATAAGCACTTTCTATTAGACCAAAAAAATCTAAATTATTCTAAAAGTTGTTCTCGTTTCGACCTTTTTTAAAATTCAGACCGGCAAAAAGACTCTAGATTTTCATCATGGAAAGAATAAGAAAGCGTTGTACTCTGCTGCCGAAGATTTCTAGACTTTTATAGCACTTTTTCAATTCATAAGGTTTACAAGGAGCTAAGATATGTTTTTGGAAGGTGTAATTGCTTGCAGGTACATATGAATACAAAGTCATTGTCACTAAACGTCGTTCAATAGGCTTAAAAAATGATAATCATAATGAATCAGTGGAATTTCCCGAAGCCTTCTTCAGTGAAATAACTCATCATTCCACCACTCATGAGGAATATCCTAGAAATTCGAACATGTGCAATCCCCTATGTGAGGTTATCCTCAACCAATACTTCCGTCGACCTTTCTCTTCCTTCCTTCCGTTCTTTCTCGTCTACCTCCTTTTTGACGTCATCGAGTTCATGCTTATAATCAGTTTGTGGAGTTTTTCTAGGTTCTTTATATATAAAGCTGAAAAACACAAATTAGAAAAGGAGGATGAAAGTGCAGACAATGTCTCACAGCCTCTTTGTCTACGAAGACAGTAAGATTGCTTGAAGATACCAATATTGGACTGGAGCACAGAAACGTGAGATTTTCATGAGCTCATGAGTTACGTTTGGGAGTTGACTGCGAACGAGGCGAATAGCCCTCGTTTAGTAAGCATGGCAATCTGTTGATGTCTCTTTCATGAGAAATGGTAGAATTGAAAGCATGTCTCGGTTTTGCTGGCAACGCATCAAACACAATCCTGAAAAATTCGTGTCGACGAATGCCTTCATGGCGTTTAGAAGTTGATTCGTTATCCGTTCAGTATGTTTCGCATAAGAAGAACAGTTTTTGGCACAAAATGTTCAAAGTGTGTATTTTAGGCAAGAAGTTGTACTTGAAAACTGTTAATTGTAGGTAGCGCATATATAAATGCGTCTATATATACATGTAGTGTAAAGGATGAAAAACGGATAAAGCTCTGCGGTGATTAATCCGTGAGGGATGCGCCATGCATTTAACTTCATTAAATATAGTTGGGTATGATTGAATGCTTATCTGGCCTTTACAGTGACTCGCGGTGGTCTGCCGATGTTTCGAGCCAGTGCTGCTTTAATCCTAGACAGGTCTGGTACCAATGCGCGGACCGTGGAGAGATGGAAAACTTGGTGAGCTCTTGGTGCGGGATTGAACACATGTGTATTGCAGAGCGGCTCTAATCACAGCGTTAAACGCGCGCGATATCTGTAGTATTCTTTTTCTACGACCGTGTTTCACATTTACTGTGCGGATCCCATCACTCGCATTCGATTCGTTTTCTTGAGCCTATTCTTCATGAAGATCTCCCAACTTTTTACGTGTGGCTTCAGCTGCTACTAGAGCATTTTCCTTTCATCATTAATGTCGCTGAGTGCTGATCGAGTCGATTTTCGCTGGGGTCTTGAGTTAATTGAACTAGAGCGTTCCCAACTGGATTGCAGAGAGTGAACTTCTCCAGGCGTGTTCAGCACCAATTACTGGAGCCGGAGTGGTGAGAAGGTTGGTGGACCAGAAGCGAGTTCAAAGAAGCACCGTGATCGTGATGATCGACATGACTACCACAGTGTTATCCGGCCCTCCGCATATATGTAGTTTTCTTTCATAAGTTATAAATCGTAGATCATAAAACCAGTATGAAGTATGAAAGCAGTAAGACACTGTTACTCTTTCGAAAACCATTGTCTTTTGAACACACTGATGAACTTATACTTCTCGAACACCTAACAACTCCTAGGTAGGATCCTCGATGATCACCTTAACATAGCAAAGATCTCTCACTAAGTGTCGAATCCGGGTGTTGAAGTAGAGGTATACGTGTGTGTCTTCATCGAATACACCTTTTAACAGCGATAGCATGCTGGCGAAAAATTATTTAAAAGTGTTTTTTGTAAATTATTAAGTTAAGGGAACAGATTTTCATAACTACGTCTGCGAGAGCAACACTGTGTTGAACAGTCAATCTATTGAATACAAAAATTGTAGTAGAAAAGAAAAGAGCCAAGATACACTATTGGAGAGATGTGAATAGGTTAAAATGCAAGTCCTTCTTTTTGCACTGAATCACTTGCATAACATGCAATGCAACTTGGAGCTTGGAGGTTATTCCTTAAACAAGAAATCTCTGGTGGTTGCGAAGAAACGGGATTAGTTAAGTAGGAAGCTGTGTTTGCTGTATGCCCGCAAGTACTGGGAACTAAAGAAAGTTGCAGCCATAATTTTATTAAGCTCTTATTGAATGTTTGTCGCTAGTTGCACTCATTGTTCAGAATCTGGTATTCTTCCTGTTAACTTTTATCCTGTATAACTTTTATTCAAAGCTGTAGATGTGTTTATGTCGTTTTTCTTTGTGAACGTTATGGGTGCGACATGAAAATATCGTGGTCTCACATTGTGTTCTCTTGAAATGTCATTTCATCCCAACTTTAAAGCTCAGAGTGAAATAAACTATTTTAGGGTAATGAAGCAAAAAATATCTACGACTCTTAGAAGTACTGTAAGATTTCTTTGCAGTGGCCTATTTGGTAGCAGCGGAAGAAGTCTCGGGTTAGCTCAAGGTTTGCTATGAAATTGTCCTCTAGCTCTAGTAGTACTGTTTCTAAACAACTAAAACTGTCTTCCTTTTCTTTTTGGACAGTTTTTTTTCTGGTATTCTTTCAGATATGTTTATGAGTTTTTCAGCAATAACTGTCCGTGACGCTATAAACGAAGCCTTAAATGAGGAGATCAAGCGAGATGACCGCGTCTTTTTAATTGGAGAGGAAGTTGCGCGGGCTGGAGGAGCGTACTTGGTCTCGTCTGATAAATCATTTTCTAGACACTTTACGTTTTCTAGGTTTTCTATATATAGGCCTTTTAGTAAAATAAGTTTTTTAGGTTACGAAAGGACTGTGGAAAAAGTATGGAGACGAACGGGTCATAGACTCGCCAATTAGTGAGATGGGATTTACAGGTGATGTGTAAATTGTTGTTGCCGTTCGCTGAACGTTTCTGTGACTGTAAGATCTGATGGACAGCTAAATAATTGAGGAACTTGAGGTGATCTGAGCGTTATTGGATGAGCAATGTTCCTGCTTTACATGCTATGGGTTTTTGTGTTCCACAAGGGTTCTCTCTGCAAATAGTTCGGTTTCTGACTAGCTTGCAAGTTATGAAAAATCACTTTTTAAAGTTGCTTTAATTCTACGTGTCCAACTGCACGTTGTATTTCGTAAACAGAAGATCGAGGCTTTCAGGACTAGCCGTTGGTGCTGCATTCACAGGTCTTCGTCCAATTTGTGAATTTATGATGTTCGACTTCGCAATGCAGTCTATAGACCATATCCTTAATTCCGCTGGGAAAATGTATTATATGTCAGCGGGAAAGGTGGGAATATTCTGCATTAGTTAAAGCAATCACTTCGCGTTTAGATGAAATCTATAATCTTGCAGTAACTGCCACGACCGACTTTCTATTAACCTCGGCATTGATCAAGTGATTTTCTTCGTATTTTTGTTGAGCAAACGCGAGGTGTTACCATTCTTTGTTCACGATTAAGCTGACGTTTCGGCGGATTTCGCCTTCCTCAGAGCCGCTTCCTATGAGGTTTCCACTAAGTATAGTATAAAAGCACAAACTATTTATGAGGAAAAGTGCAACTTTAAAAAGTGATTTTTTATAACTTGCAAGTGATTCTGATTTCTGATTTTTTTTTTGATTTTTCTCAGTGACAGTGATTTTTTTCTCCACTACTTAGTGGAAACCTCATAGAAAGCGGCTCTGAGGAAGGCGAAATCCGCCGAAACGTCAGCTTAATCGTGAACAAAGAATAATAACACCTCGCGTTTGCTCAACAAAAATACGAAGAAAATCTATAATATTTCTTCGCTGGAAGCATCCACATATTTATGCTATAGATGGCAGATTGTTTGGGTTTAAGCGATATGTCGTCAAATATTTCGTGGAATCTTGAACATCTGCCCAAATTCCTCATAAATAGTTGGTGCTTTTTTCTTGCGTGGGATTCTGAAGATGGGTGCTCATTGCTACATGTAGTGAAAGGAGTCGGTTTCAAAATAAAGGAAAGTTTACCAAAGAAGTGAATTTGATATTTCCGTAGGTGATGTTAAACAAGGACCCGTTATGTCAAGTGGACAGTGGAAATCAAAACAGCTTTCTAACTACCTCTTATGATTTGGTAGCTTTTAACAACTAACTACCGTTTTATGAGCGTTTCAGATATCATGCCCCATTGTATTTCGTGGTCCTAACGGTGTCGAGCCTGGAGTCGCTGCTCAACATACACAGGACTTTGCTTCGTGGTATGCACATTGTCCTGGAATAAAGGTATTATATATTTTCCTCGTGCTCACTCGAAAGCATTATTTTTGGGCAGAAAATCTTACTACCGTCGCATGTTGGAGTATTCTTTGTTAGGCGCTTTTCGTATTGTAACATTTGTTATCCACGGTTCTAATTTGGTTGATATTCCTGACCATCGTTTATCCTAGATAGATTTCCATTTCGCTATTTCATCAAGAACTAAATATTGACGAAAACATTTCAGGTGTTGGCACCCTATAGTGCAGAGGACGCTAAAGGGTTGCTAAAAGCAGCCGTCAGGGACGATAATCCAGGTGTGTTTAATGGTTTTCAATTTCTAGAGATTTTTTCTTCAAATCATTCGGTTTCCTTCTTCTCCTTAAGTACATAAAAGACTAGATTGGGCTTTTTGACTGGTAGTTATTACGTTTTTTTGCCAACTGAAGGCAAAGGACTAGCTTCCAGCCATCGTAGTGGTATGAATTCTTACAGTACTTGTTGACATTCATCTCATTTGTCCCAATTCCTACCTTATATTTTGTGACATACACACTCAACTTATTAATATTCTATTTCTTATTCATTGTCATAGATTGCCCATACTACTTCATATTCCACGTATCCTGCCTCATAGCTTTGTGAAAAGTGAATAGCAAAGGATTGCTTAAATTATTTTCATAGTGATGCTTTGTACCTATTGGCTCACCAACGAGGGTGTTCCTGAGTGCTGAACTGTGATGTGTATTGGTGATTCTATACCCAAGCAATTTTCAAAGCTGAAAAGTTCAGAATTTTTCCACTAAAAACCAGCTGAGAGAAATTCAGCTTTCGGAATTATCGCCGCTCTAGGAACAGCATGTTCACTAGCTTGTAAGTGATGGCAACCAAGTAAGGTCTTTGTACGGCTTACACTGATGAGGGTTAATATTGCACAACCGGAGAGTTATCGCCTAAGTGGAAATAATTGCTGGAGCTGTGAAATTCTTCATGATTCGTGGGTATAAATTATTTAACTGTTTTAATAAGTTGTGTCGATAGTTTTTGTATTATTGAACCATGGTGCGTAATGCGTAGCACACTTAACCTTTCATACAGTTATGATGAAGATTCAGGAGCTCACGCCGGATATTCCATTATATTCGTACTCAGTGTTTCCACAGGCGAAGTAAGGTTGTAGGGCTGAACAATACGAGCTTAATATGGAAAGTCTTTCTGCTTCGCAAAATTCAAAGAATGCGTTAGCGAATTAAGAGTGAGAGTCATTGATTTTCATACCAACCACATTGCTCGGTAGAGTGCTAAACCAGGACGAAAATATGTGTGATGAATATGATGTGGAAACTGAGAGGCGAGTCACATCAGTTGGTGTTTATGAGATCTCGAAAAAGCACGTGATAGTTTACAGTATGCTTTTTTTGGATGGAGGTTACAGTGGGCTCTGGCCATTGAATGCAGGGTTTTTCAAGTGAAGCAGACGTCTTTTTCTGAAAAATCTTCGAAAGCTGAAAGGTACCCAAGGAATGTTTCTTCCTGTAGGGATTTCGAACTGAGTAAGCTACTCAGTAGGTCCTCAAATGAAAAACTGAAGGCCAAAGATGGACTAAAATTAACCGCTTAGTTGCCTTGAGAGACAGGCAGCTTTGCAGGATAGGGTGAGTTTACTCAAACAAACAAGCCCTATATCTAACTTGAAGAGCTTTACATGATAACCGTGTTTGTAACTACCACTGTACCAGGGCAGTCTGTCGAACCTTCTGTGGTTATTAAATCAGCTTTTTACCAGTAGAGGTGAAGAGATCTCAAATCAGAAGTGTGGTTCTACGTGCTGATTTATTTTTAACATATGCGATCTGAAACGTTGACCATTTTGTTGAAGAAACATCATTCGTTCGCTCCAGGCGGTTATGTGGTTTTCCTAAAATGTTGACATCAGCTCGTGTTTGTTTTAATTCTAATTTAAAAAGATAAAAAGACTTGGATTTAAAATTTCTCAACACAAATGAAGGATCCGCGAACTTCAGTTGTACATTAGGGACGTCGTTTTGCCCACATGGGAAAAATTCGATCTTTTCAATTGCTTAGTTGCCCGTTATGTGAACTCCAACAGTAAAGACAAGAATTAGAAAGAACTGTGGGCTTCTCAAAGCCTATCTTTATCTTTGAAGAGTAACAGAGTTTGCATCTTTTTTGCATTGGTCTATAATTCCTAACGGTCTTTATTTTAAAAAGTCAATTTCACTAATAGTTGGGTTGTGTTAGTTTAATACTGGAAGACATATCTGTTAGGTTGTTTGTGAATCAATGCTGGGTTTTCGTCTGCATCTTTAGAGCAGCACATCTTAGCTCAGGATAGACTGATTGATTCAAACAAAAACATTTAGAATGCACACATTTTTGCAAGAAATACATTTATACATACCAGTTGAGGAAAAGTACAAATCTCCGGACGGCAGGTGACACATAGTCACCTGAGGTCCGGAGTTTTGCAAATAACTCAGCATCATTGATTATCTCAGCATTGAAGTTATATTTCTCAATATATCTTGCCGTTGAAAAAAGAGTAGGCGTTAAATAATAAGTTAAAATTGTGAAAAGTACAAAGTTCTGCTAGCATTGAAGTCGTGGAAGGCAGCTTCTTCCTCAATTTGGTTTCTGTAGTTTTTTTGAAACAGAAAGTTGCCGACATGCCTAAAGAAGTGGTAATTAGAAAGCGAGAGGCCTGAAAAGTATGGTGGATAGCACAGAGCTTCGGAACCTAGCTGGCTACACCATTGGGAGCTCGGTCGCGCACTACTATGGTGAAAGACTGGACTCTTTTTGTTGACCAATGCCGTGCTCAAACGTCGAAGGTTCTGGTGCATTTCATAAATTTTGCTGGGCGTACTTCATCACTGTAATCCTCACTCAGATTTAAGAAAATCTGCATTAAACCAGTGCAGATCAGCAAGCCGACAGAATGGCTTTATCACTGTGTAGTTTCGGCTTTATGAGGTACTGAGGAGCGTCTTCGCTCTCTAATCACCGAGCCGATTTGTCGTCGGTTATAATAAAACATGCATTTTTCATTTCACATAGCAACACAGTTTAGGATCGCATTCTTATTTTCGTAGAAGAGTGATTTTTTCGACCTTCATTCAATTCTTTCGGTAACCAATTGCTGAGATTCTTAGGCTTTTCTATTTTCCATAGATGATGCGGAGCACTTGAGCATCTTAAATTGAGTTTTCCTGCGAGTTTTGGGACGGATATACGTGCATCCTCTTCCACCAACGCCCTCAATTAATCGTCCTCAGAGGCAGAGGAACGTAGCCGACTTTCATAGCTGCGATGTCGAATTCGCCACGAAGGCGTTTTCGTTCCCAATTTTTAGCCTGTTGAATTTGCGAACAATACAGTTTGCATTATAATTTAGTCATACTGAGCAAATATGGATAAAACAGGCTTTACACTGATATATAATGGTGCGGCATTTAAGAAAAGGAATAATATTTCGAAACCGACCTTCCCTAAACCTTGGTGTGACTAATCAATATGTATTCTTTCTTGATAAGCTTGCACGAGGTTGATAAATATATTTATTTTCGGCTAACGTTTCGACGTCTTCGTCTTCCTCAGAGCCGGTGATCCGAGTCGATGGTCCATGCTTGTTGTTCGCCTCGACGTTGCGTCTTCGCCTTCCTGTCGAGCCAGATCTTCCTCAGCGAGCCATCTTCTCGAATGAGGCATCCTCACTCAGTGATGCCCTTTTATACACGATGCTGATGGTGGATATATAATGACAATGTCTGGTGGTAACAACTTGTATTTCTTCCGGACATACATCATTATTACATCATTAAAAGGGCATCACTGAGTGAGGATGCCTCATTCGAGAAGATGGCTCGCTGAGGAAGATCTGGCTCGACAGGAAGGCGAAGACGCAACGTCGAGGCGAACAACAAGCATGGACCATCGACTCAGATCACCGGCTCTGAGGAAGACGAAGACGTCGAAACGTTAGCCGAAAACAAATATATTTATCAACCTCGTGCAAGCTTATCAAGAAAGAATATACAAAAGGAATAATATTACAAATACTGTGCTGATCTCCTAACCACTTTATATTTTAGACCATCTGCGAGTGGCAATCAATCCGTTGAGTCCTATGTGCTAAAATGCTCAGTGTTACTTTTGTGGTTTATCTTTGATTCATTTCTAGTTGTGTTTTTGGAACATGCGATACTGTATGATCGATTGTTTCCCGTTGGCGACGAAGTGTTAGAAGATGACTTTGTGTTGCCAATAGGAGAGTGCAAAGTTGAGAGGTTTGTTTATATGCGCGTACTTTTCCAGTGTAAGTGCAATTTTTCCAGAGAGGGTAATCACATAACTATTGTTTCTTTCGCAAATGGCGTTGGAATGTCGCTTGAGGCTGCAAATGAACTTGACGCCCTAGGCATTTCTGCCGAAGTATGTCCATTCCTCTTCTGTTTAGACGATTTTAGGATTGTTTTCCTTTCCTTCAGTAGGTACTGCATGAGATAGTGTTGTACATTTGTCTTTATGGAAACGTATAAAGTTCATTATTTGCAACAGGTAATCAATCTTCGCACTCTACGCCCTCTTGATTTTGAAACAATTAAGAAGTCGGTGATGAAAACTCGTCACTTGGTCACGGTTGAAGAAGGTTGGCCATTTGCAGGTCTGTCTCACATAATTTGAAACAAAAGCCCTTATCAAGAGTAAGTCGATGTCGCGTAGCACGCTATGGGTGGGTTAGTACTGCAATTTCGAGTTATTGAAAGATTCTCGAGTTTACTTCTTTACACATAGAACACATAAAACACAACTGTAGCTGACGTTCCTGCAGTTTCGCCTTCTCCAGAGTCTGAAAACGTCCACTGATACGTAATTTACTAGGTCAAACGCTTCAACAGCACGAATAGGAAGATGAAAATCTGAACGATAATTACATGACGACCGTACAATTATTGTCATTATCATATTCGTGTAATTGTTGTTCAGATTTTCACTCTTCTGTTTGTGCTGTTTAAGGGTTTCCCCTAGTAAATTGCGCATGAATAACAATCTAGCGATTGTTGGAAAAAAGAGAACAACAGATTTGTAATCCAATGCTAAGGTTAATAGAAAGTCGGTCTCGGGGACTGTTCTCAAGTCGTTTGTCTCAAGTAGAGCCCTATCGTTTCCTTTGCCACATGGTCAATTCTACGCAATGTCATCTTGCAGGAATCGGCGCTGAAATTAGTGCCCAGGTGAGTGAGTGTGAAGCATGGGACTACCTAGAGGCTCCAATTCTTCGTGTTTGTGGAGTGGACGTGCCAATGCCATACGCACAACATCTTGAAGAGGAAGTCATCCCAAATATGACCCATATTGTTGCTACATGCGAGAAGAGTCTTAAACATAAAATGAAAAAATAGTGATTTAGAGACTGTTCTTCGCCCAGTAGAGAGTACTCTTTTCCCCATATACTATCTGAAGTTTCTTGTGTGAGTTGTGCATACATTGTATTGGACACTTTTCAAAACACAGCAAATATATTCGCACGCTTAAATTAGGATCGTATTTATATAGGGTTGCTCAGGCCCTTCTTTCCTCTATAACCATGTCCAACGTAGTTTCTCGTATGTATTGTAACTACCTCGCTTGAGGAAAGCTACCTCTGCTATTTATATTGAACTACCTTTTTTATAAATTTGCCAAAACCTTGCCTGGTATACTTTCTTGTAGTTTTTGTAACACTATTAAACTATCTCTTTTATAAAAGCTAGCAAAACGTTGTCTGCAATGATTTACTGCATTGATGTAGTCGAGCACGACTACAATAACTGAGAAACTTGTGAGCTGCATCGTGACTCCGCACACTCCACAAGAAATTAAAAAGCATGAATACTCACCTTTACATTCGCTTGGATATTGTTCTCACAATCTTCTTTTCCTCACTGTTGTAGTAAAATTCGGTTGGTACCGCGAGGATTGCGCCTTCTTTTTCGCTACTCTTAGTGTGCACTGGTTTCAGTGGGCGCTTCGCTACCGACAGATAATCTCGTCATTTTATAGCACGATGTTCGTGTATGGGCGGATAGTGAGCTGATTGCAGATGTCGTTCATTCCGCAGAAGCACCAGACTACCCAAGCGCTGGGTCGATCGAGCAGCTGGCCTATCAAGCCTGTCGTCCATTCATGGCGAGAGACTACCACTACGTGTGTCTGGGACCAGCTCACTCTCTCCAGTCACCGTAATTTCTCCTCGACACGGCTTTTTTAGAGTTCCAGAGAAAGGTGGCGAGTCAGCCAGCATTCAACAATATTTATGACGAACACGGATGTCCTCAAACAGCAGCGGAATCCATACGCAATAATAGTTCCAAGATCCTCTTGGGTGGTGGAGGAGAGTTAACGAATCGAAAGCAAAAAGTGCTGGGATCTACACGGCGTGATAATATGATATCAAGATGGTGTAAAAGGAGTCTAGAAAAAAAGGTGCTTTTACACTACTAAGGACATACTCCATTTGCCGTGCGTGGGAATATACTGACATCTCAATCAGAGATAGTCTTGCAATTTGGGCGACTAATCTTGTGAGAAACCTTTTCTCTTCTTGTAAGTTACACAATATAAAAAGACTAAGGGATAAAGCCTTCTACGTTGAGCAATCCGTGAGAACGCACCATGCATTCGACTCCATTAACAACGCTAGAGGTATTTGAATACACTTTTGAAACGCGTCGTTTGAGGCGCCTTGCAGAATACATGGGTTCGATCTCGCGCCTTAGGGACACCAAGCTTTCATCCTTTCGGGGTTGGTAAATTAGTACCAGACTATCTGAGAGGATAGCAGCAGCAATAACTGGTTCGATATATCGGCAGGCAGCCGCGAGTCACTGTAAAGAGCATATATGCATTTAAACACCTCCAATACAGCATAGATTATAAATTATAACCACATTGTTGCTCAGATATGAGCAATTACCCGGGACCTCACGTGGGCATTGAGCTCGCAATTACCCTTGCCGAGCCTAATGTGTTATCCACCACACCACCCTAGACCTTTTTATGTCGTTGTCTTAACCACATTTGTACTAATCGGCGCTATTAACAGTTATGCGTCAACGGGAATTATCTAAGAAGCACAAATCGGCATCGAACTCAGTTAAGCTGCAGTTACAGCTGAAATAACAATGTTTTAACATTTATTTATTGCCTATTCCTTGTTTAGCTGCAGCTTTCGCTTAGCTAAAGTCAGTAATCTGGATTTGCTCTCCAGATCATTCCTGTTCACAAGTGATTGCTGATAGGACTGATTCCCTAAACAGGAAGAGAAAAGAAAGTCTTTCTTTTGCTGTGGATGGTATGGTGCCTTCGGAAAGGGTAGCCGCGCGTCCGAAGTCCAAAGAGGTTCTGAGTTTTGCTCATATCTCAGCATCACTGTTGTTGTAATTCACATCACATTCCTGCCATGAAAAAAGAATAGGCAGCAATCAAAAGTTAGAGCACTGCACAATATAGGTTTGTTGGTTTACTAGAACAGAAAACTCTGAGGTGAAGTTTAATAAGAGATATCATTAGCTCAATGCTGGTGATACCCTTCAATGCGGCCATTGCCCCACCCACTGCGATGCTCACGAATTCCTCTATCTTTAAGTGTTCAAGAAATTGCTACGAAAATGATTATGGTCCAAATGATAAAGCTTGAAATTCATCACTATAGAATGATTAATAAAAATTGCTTCTGATTGTGAATGGTCAAGCCCACGGAACTTCCTCATAAGAGGGATCCCGATAGCCGACTAGTCGCGAGGCTACGTCGCGCGTCCCAGGTAGCGAATAAGGGGTTGATGGCGGAACAACAGCGACTGTATGTTTCCCTGAGACGCAGGTGGATCCAGGGGACGAGCTCCCTGTTTCTGCCGCGCCGATTTAGCAAATACTTTCTGTATTTACGAAGCGTATTCATGCATGCGCGTGCGGATGCGTTTTTGTATTCTGCGAGTCAATTCAGCTAAAAGCCTGGAATGAAATGACAGTGAAGTATAGGGGAAGCGCTTAGGAGTCGCCTCAAACAAGTAAGCTCCGTGTCCACTCTGGGAGAGACTGGCAAGCTACCCGTGAGAATACCCAGCTCCCACGTTCAAAGCCCAGCAAGCTACACGTAGGTATCAAGAATGCTAAACGCTAAAAAAAGGGCCTCATTCCCTGACCACGAAAGAGCACCCAATTTTGCATCGTTCGGTAAAACGAATACGGAGAAGCTGCTAAAATCTCAGGACCAATGGAAGCCGCCTGGATTTTAAGGAACTATGGTGACGATCTGTACCTACAATGCACGTATACTTGCATACGAGTCCTCGATGGAAGACCTGATCATACAAGCAAAAAGGATAAGGTACGATGTCATCGGCCCGCCCAAGACGAGACGACGCCACCCATTCAACGCCATCCTACGACACTGGAAAAGAACTGTTCCTCGGAACATGCGACAGTAGAGGAGTCGGCAGCGTCGGCGTTCTCCTAAACACGAGATGGTCCATGAACATTGATTCGATCAAACAACTAACAGCCCCAATCGGACGTTTACGTTTAAAAAGATGTGAATCAATTCCGACTTTGACAGTCCTCCTCGTTTACGCGCCGACGTTATACTATGACGAAGAAGAAATCGAAACGTTCTACGAGGATTTGGAGAAGTTGTACAGAGAACACACATTCTTCAAGGTCATCATTGGAGATTTCAACGTCAAGATTGGACCAAGAAAAACGTCTGAAAAACGTGACATTGGGAACCACGGATTAGAATGGAATGAACAGGGAGAGCGGCTCTCTGACTTCATCATGACGAGCATGACCACCTATGGTAGCTCGCAATTTCAGAAGTACCACCCTCAATGTTGAACGTGGGAGTCTCCAAATAGAAAATACCATAATGAAATAGACCACATCATAGTAAACCGATGGATTTGCCTAACCGATGTTGCTGTTGTCCCAAAATTCTGCACAGGATCAAGCCATCGCCTCCTCCGTGCAAGATTCTATTAACGCCTCCTCCGAGCAAGATTCTATTTACTCCTGATTCAGAGAACCACAACGAAATAGACCGCATCATAGTAAATCAAAGGTTTTTCCTAACCGATGTAGTTGTTTTCCAAAATTCTACACGGGATCAGACCATCGCTTTCTTCGTGCAAGATTCTATTTATAGCGGAAAGGAGGAAAACCAGCTAAATTCAAAAACTGAAGTCCGAGAACCACCGTAAACTGAGACTTATTCAATTCATTAATCGGCTGTTTGGAAGACGCCGTTGTCAAGAACATCGACGAAGAATGAGATGGGCTCATTCAACATCTTCACGTTAGTGCTATGAAAGATGAGAGTTCGAAGGTCACCAAGAGACATCTGCTTCCAGAAACACGCGAGCTGATACGCCAACGTGGAATCGCACGAACTGCAGGCAACCTCGAACTAACGTTCGAAATTGCAAGACAATGCAGACAGGCGATAAAAAAAAATCATAAAGAGAGAATAGTAGCAGTAATGGTCGAAGCTGGAGAGGCTGGGAAAAGCATTCGCAAAGCCTACAACTTCGTCAATTGAAATTAAGATGAAAATGATTGCACTCTGACGCTCACACGGAACAGTTACAGCGTCCAGAAGGACAATGAAGAAAAACATTCACAAATGTTACTCAGGTCTCTTCGATAGCCACATCCACCTTCCGTTATATGAAATAAAGTAGGATGGATATGTCGTACCAGCGGCTCTCCCTTCCGATATCCGACATGCCATTTCGTCGTTGAATAATCGGACAGGTCCAGGTCCGGTCAAGAAAGGCCTGAGCACCAGAACCTACCGTCAGCCTTCATAAACACCCTGCCTCGGTTCTTCACACGTCGCCTCTCTGAATGCAAGGTACCTGCTCAGTGGAAGACCAGCAAGACCGCTTTATTATTTTAGAAAGGTGACCTACACGATATCGGCAACTATCGTTCAATCTGCTTGCTGTCTGTCGTCTGCAAATTTTTCACTCGACATCCTAAACAGGATTGACAGAACACTTGGCGAAAGAGAGCCATGTGAGCAAGCAGTGTTTCGAAAACGATATATTATGATGGACCTCATTCACACAATAACAAGACTCACTGAAGTATTGCCAGAGTACAAAAGACCTCTCTGTATCACTTTCATCGATTTAAAGAAGGCCTTTCACTCACTTGAGGTAGAAGCAGTCATGGAAGCTCTTGATAGTCAGGGAGTCCCGACTCAGTACATAAAAATTCTTTGTGAGCTATACAAAAATTTCACAACCAAGATATGATCGTTCTACAACGATATTAACATAGACGTCAAAAGAGGGGTCAGGCAAGGCGATACCATCTCGCCAAGATTATTCGCCGCCACCCTCGAGAACGTTATGCGAACATTGGAATGGGGCAACATGGGAGTGAAAATCGATGGTCGGCAATTACACCATCTCCGCTTTGCTAATGACATCGTCCTTGTAACACCAAACATTAGCAAAGCGGAACGAATGCTTGCCGACTTTGACAAAGCCTGTGGATAGGTTGGTCTTCGACTAAATCTCACATAAACGATGCTCATGAGGAACGGATTGCTTTCGTATGCCCCATTCACGCTCATCGGAACGAATATCTTCGAACGCTCCAGTTATGTCTGCCTAGATCGGGAAGTAACACGATAAGCAATTTAGGTCCAGAGTTGAGCAGAAGAAAACGAGCGGCTTGGAGAGCTTTCAAGAGCATCGAAGATGTAGTAAGGAGAACAAAGATCACCCGATTCCGCTTTCACCTTTTCGATTCAACGGTGCTTCCTGCGTTAATGTATGCGTCGTAAACCTGGTCGCTGCTTAAACTGGATGAAAGGTCACTCAGCGTTATCGAATGCGCAGTCGAAGGGACGATGCTAAGAGTATCCCGTGTCACGCAAGTAAGGGAAGAGTTCCGAAACTCCGACCGGCGCCAACGATCAAAAATGAAAGCTGCCGTTCTATACACCAAAGAGTCAAAGATGAGGTGGGCAGGACACGTAATGCGTACGAATGACGACCGATGAACAACAGCCGTTAGTGACTGGATTCCTCGGTATGTTAAACGGACTGCAGAAAGACCACAGACTCGATGGTCAGAGTTCTTCACGAAAAGTCTAGAAGAAAGATATGATGCTCTACGAGTGCCTTAAGCGAGCAGGACCTACCCTTGCACGCGACAGGGAAAAATATAAGATTTACTGGTGCCCGCTCGAGTCATTCGACGGCCAACGGGCCTACAGGTGATACAGGTGAATGGTCAAGCAAAGGTAGTCGAAGGAGTTAGTTTTTCCCGCATGGATTTGTGCTCGAGTTTTGGAAAATTTGAAGATAAAGGATAAGGATAAGGATAAGTAGAGAGAGAGAGAGAGAGAGAGAGAGAGAGAGAGAGAATGACATGCTTGTTTAATTTGCTTAATCTCACATCACTCTTGTTATTTAAATGTCTATACGTGGCTGAAGAACTTATGAATTAAACGATGTACGAGCTCTTACTAGCTCATCTCACAAGATAAAGTGAGCTTAAGCACACCAATGTCGCTTGAGGTTCGAGTTCTTATTACCTCAAAATGATTAAGTTGTGGCCTTGCAAAATGTGCTCGCAAACAGCCATCTCTTTGTTTTTGCAAAGTAGCCTTGTTCTTTTTTAAAAAAATTGTCTTCAAATAAATTCTCTTAAAATAAAAAAGTGCGGAAACTTCTTGTGCAGCAAGTACATCTGTGTCCTACCCTTAGTTGTCTCGAAACACCATCACTGCGTCCTACTCGAATTCAGATTAAGGTAGCCGCACATTTGAGTTAGTCAGAAAAGAAGTATTTATGCCTACCCGTATTTTAATTGGCTGCTCGAAAGGTCTTCTAGCATTTTATAGCTAAGCATCTAATTCAGACTTCCGACTTTGCCTCTGACACACTGAAACCCCTACATTATACTTGCCATAAAGCCCTGATCGTTCCATGCAGTGATTTAAAATATACGATAATACATCAGTGAGAGGAAGAAAAGTCTCCAGTTGTTTCAAGCTTTCTTGTTTCCATGTTTTGAACAAGTGAACCTATTACAACTTTTCACGGCAGGTTACTAAATGTGACTCAACCACAATGATGCTGAGGTATTTGCAGAACTCCGGACCGTAGGTGTTTGCGGTGGGAACGAACGCGCTATCGCCCTTTCCTGGGGCTAAAGCGTTCACCACCACATCCACTATGCGAGACCTTCGTTTCGCTTGTCTTTTAGCTAGCTCCATCGATTAAGCTATCAGCAATCAGCCGTCTGTCAATCCCGTTGACCCACACCGTGTGGTGGTGAACACGTTAGCACCCGGAAAGGTAATAGCATGTTCTTTCCTCACGGCGGACACCTGCTCTCCGGAGTTTTGCAGATATCTCAGCATCATTGTGCTTAATCACTACTTAGTTGACTTTGATTCACATCTCGATAGAATTGAACTTAAATTTCATCAACGCATGGTTTTCCACTATTTATCATTTTGCTCCACTCAGCATGAAACCAACCGATAAGGTTTCATGTTGAACTTTTCTAGGAAAAATGTGAAGATTTGTGCTTTCGAGCAATCCCGACTTATTACGAGCTTTGCTTGGTCATTTTAGGTAGGCATCTAATTGCCCTAGTCAGCTGAAGTAACTTATTGCTGCCAATGAAAAATATGTTTGTTTATTCCAACTGCATAAAATTCTGAAGTTCTGGAAACGATTAATTCGTTGGAGGCATTTTTTGCGTCATCGTGGTTGGTGAAGCATTTCTCGTGCAGGAAGTTGTCAAGGTGCTTGAATAGGTGAGTCCGTAGGCGAGAGGTCTGATGAATATGGCAGATGGAACAAAGTTTCGTAGCCCAACTCGTTCAACTTCTGCAGCGCTGTTTCCAGAACGTGAGGCTGGGCGTTGTCGTGGAGAAGGATTGGTCCTTTTCTGTTGACTAATACCGGTTGTTGTTGTTGGAGTTTACGGTGTATTTCGTCGATTTGTTGGCAATACTTCTCTGCCGTAATCATTTCGCCTGGATTCAAAAGCTGCCATGAATCGGCCTCGCTGCAGGCCACCAAGCAGTCACCATAACCTTTTTTGGTGCAATTTTGGCTATGGGAAGTGCTGAGGAGTCTGATCGCAATCCAACCATTGAGGTGAAGTTGCCGGTTGTCGTACAGAATCCACTTCTCGTCATACGTCACAGTTCGATCAATGAAAGGGTCGTTTTTGTTTTGCAGGATAAGAGCAGTCGGCATTCCAAAACGGCGATTTTTTTGATTATCGTTTAATTCAGGCGAAATTGTTCCTGAGCTTACGCCAAGCCGTTCTGTAAGCTCTCGAGCAGTTGTTCGCGTGTTTGCTTTCACAAGTGCTTTCAGCTCGTCATCGTCAAGTTCAGTGGGGCGTCCGCTACCCCTCAACATCGAGGTCGAAGTCACCAGGTCGGAATTTTCGGAGCCACGTTCGCAGAGTTGATTCACCGACTTTACCTTCACCCCAAACTTCACTAATGTTTCGAACCGTCTCTGCTGCACTACAGCGGAGTTTGAACTCATAAAAGAAATTTTGACAAGAATTCGTTTTTGATATTCAGAATTGCAAAACTCAAAGTGAGTGAAAAAATTTAACTTATGATAAAATGCAAAGGCATGATTAGAATACAATATTGCAAGGTGCAAAGAATATTCCATTGGTAAAAAGACAAATGAAACAATAAATATTTATCGATACTCTTGTTGAGCAAACACGAGGTGTTAATTTATTCTTTATTCTATTAAAGCTGGCGTTTCGGCAGTATCGCCTTCTTTAGAGCCTAGAAGGGTATACTCGTAGGCAATTTACATTGCTTTACTTTACCGTTCACACACAAAGAGGGCGCATGTAAGAAACAGCTTCGAACAGCCACCTCTGTGTGCACGAAAATGGATCCAAAAGAAGTATCGCGCAACTTGGCTCGGCAAATAGGCATCTCTAATGGCTACGAAATACTAGCCCCACGAGATAACCCTAGAAGGATAGCGACGCTCCAAAAGGAAAAACGAGACTTAGACAAAATCCCGTTCACCTTGCCCCTTCATTAGCGATGGAGTAAGTGTAGCTATAAAACGATGCCTAGGAAAGGCAGGTCTAGAAGAATCGGTAGTGATAGTTGAAATACCACCGGCTACTCTACGTCGTCAGTTAGTTCGTAGCCGCCTATATAACGTTCTATGCGAGACACAAAGTTGCGTAATTTGCCTTTACGGCAGGGACGGTGAGTTCATGAGTTCAGGTACGATATACCTGATGAAATGGGCAGACGTTTATGTATGTCCATAAAAAAAAACCTTGATGGCAAACGAAAAAAGAAAAAGCAAGGTAAGGTATGCCACTAGGGACGCATAGGGTACAAAAGCATAGCGGAGACGAGTTTGATATAAAAGTCACTATCCTCGCACAGGACACCAAAACACCAACACTAGAATTTCTTGAGGCTTTTGGATAAATGCCAAAAACCCTACGATGAATAGCAGGAAAGAATGCCCCGAGATCACACGTGATCTCGCCCCGTAGCTTTGTTTCGATCCTTAATGTGGTGTGGGGCAGTCGTCAACCATATGCGACTCTGAGCGGCTGTTCTTCCAGACAGGTGAAAAAAGGAGTAGGTTTCTCCAGAAGCCGTTGGTCTTTTAATTATCGGTCTGATTTTCACCTTGTTGTATGTGTTATGGGAATGTTTCATAAAGTAAATTGCCTATCAGTTTACCCTACCAGGCTCTGAGGAAGGCAAAATCCGCCGAAACGTCAGCTTGAGAGGAATGAAGAATAAAGTAACACCTTGTGTTTGCTCATCAAGAATTCCATTATCATTCATCAAGAACTGTTGGCATTGAACCCAATCAAATCGGCATTGAATCCAGCTAAGCTGAGGCTATAGTTATAATCACAATCTTAACCTTTTTATTTACTGCCTATTTTTTTAACGGCACCGTAAAGATCGATAGAACTAGCTGAGAGACATGGTGTAGTGGTGAACGCGTTAGTCCCCGGAAAAAACAATAGCGCGTTCGTTCCGCACCACAGACATCTGCGGTCCGCGGTTTTGCAAATATCTCAGCATTATAGTAGTTGTATTTCGCAACATACCCTGCCGTTAAAAAGAATAGGCAGTAAATAAAAAGGTTAAGATAATAATTTTTAAAGCAGCCGTCATTTAACTTCGGCATTAATAATCAGTATCAACGTGGAAACGGATCTTATTTGTTGGAGGCGACTCCTAACCGCCTCCCATATGTTTCCCTGTCACTTGATTGCAGGCTTTTGGCTGAACTGACTCGTAGAATACATTCCGCATAAACTTGAGCGCACCCACACACGCATGCATGAACCTGCCTCCTAAATAGAAAGTGTGTGCCAAATCGGTGCAGCAAATGCAGGGAGTCTATCTCTCGAATCTACCTACGTCTCAGAGAAGCAAAGATCGCTTTTGGTCCGCAATTAACCCCCTATCCGCCACCTAGGGACGCGCCACGTAGCGTCGCGACATACCAGCTCGGGCCTCATATGAGGGAGATCCGTGGAGAGTTCTCGACAGAGGACTTTATCATGCAAAAAGAAAGGACGTCACTACACTGCCTGGGAGTAGAAGACGCCGCTTACTCGACGCTGTCTGTAGAACTGGGAAAGATCTCTCTCTCGGAATATGCAGCAGTAAAGGAGTCGGAGGCGATCCCTTTCTTTGGCCATGTACATCGATTTGTTCGAATAACTAACAACAAGAATTGGTCGTCTACGTTTGAAGAGGTATAATTCAATATCGACTTTGACAATCTTCGTCGTTTACGAGCCCACATCAAACTACGACGACGACAAATTCCACACGTTTCATATGGACTTGGAGAACTTTCACAGAGAAAGCCTAATATTCTTTACGGCCATCACTACATATTTCGACGCTTACACCAGACCTTGAAGAACGTTTAAGTAACGTCATAATGAGATCTACGGATGACAGATGGACGTGCAGGTAGCGGCTATTCGAGCTTGTGATGATGACCAAGAACTTTCATGGTTCATCACTCCCATTTCCAGAACTCAGTCCCAACGCTGGACGTTGGAGTCTCCTTATTCAGAGAACCACAACGAAATAGACCGCATCATAGTAAATCAAAGGTTTTCCCTAACCGATGTAGTTGTTATCCAAAATTCTACACGGGATCAGACCATCGCCTTCTTCGTGCAAGATCCTATTTCCGCGAAAGTCCCGCGAAAACAAAGTCCTAAAACCACCATAAATTGGGACTTATTCAATTCATTAGTCGGCTGTTGGAAAGATGCTGTCCTTGATAACGTTGACTAGTAATGCGATCGACTCATTCAACATCTTGGCGTTAACGCTATGAAAGGTGAGAGTTCGAAAGGCACCAAGAGACGTCTGTCTCCAGAAATACTCGATCAGATGCGCCAGCGTGGAACCGCGCAAGCAACTGGCAACCGTCAACTCGCGTTCAAACTCGCAAGCCAACAAACCATAAACAAAGATCTTAAACCAAGATGGGCAGCAATTATACTCGAAGCTAAAGAGGCAGGAAAAAGCGTTCGCAAAGAGCAACAAGATTTCGCCAACTAGAAAGTCAAGGTGGTGCCACTCCAACGACCAGATGGAATAGTTACAGCATCCAGAAAGCAATGGAAAAAAACGTTTGCGATTACCACTCGTGCCTCTTCGATAGCCACGTCCGCCTGCTCTCGATTGAAATAAAAGAAGACGAGCACGTCGTCCTACAGGTTCTCTCTTCAGTAACCCAATATGCTAGTCCGTCGGTGAAGTGTCGAACTGCAAAAGGTCCAGACAATCGAAACAAGATAGCATCTGAGGACCTGATTAACCTTTTTCCAATCTCCGTAAATACACTACTGGCTCCTCACACGTTTCTTGTTAGCATGCAAGGTTCCTATGCATAAGCCTTAGAAAAAGAGTTAAGCTTAGTGGTAGTGCAACTTTTCTTTACACGACCCGCGTTTGACATCTACTGTGTGGAATTCTGCATTTTTCATATTCGACTCGTTTCCTCGTATTCATATATCCAAAATCTCCCAACTTTTCACGAGTTGCTCCACCGGCTGCTTGAGGATTTTACTTCAATCACGAATTTCGTTGAATGCTGGTCAAGTCGCTTCTCCCTGGCGCTTTGAGGTAAGTGGGCTAGAGTGTTCTTACTTGGATTGCAAATAGTGGACTTTTCCCAATCAAGCCCAGTTCCAATTTTCCGATCGCGGTTTGATGAAAGCCTTGGTGAGACTGCGCTCTGTCGAACCCATGTGTACTGCATATGCAAATACAAAGCACAAAAATCTTCTTTCGTTGCACACTTCTTCATTCTGGCAAACATCTCGTTCTGCTTGCTTCGTAGTGCAGATCGAAGTAGTTCCATTTCGATGCCTTATACTTGATGGCTGTCCTCTGGTTGGTCGCAATTTGGAAGCAATTTTTTATCCAAAGCAATGGGAAAGGAAAAGGTTCTGCTTATCCATGTCAGAAAGCCGCTGTAATAGACATGTAGATGATTGCAGCTTTCTACTGGAAATACTCTTGTTTATCTACTGTTAATTATCGTTAACGACCGCGCTAATGGACGATATCGTCGATCATAAGATTCATAATTGCCAAGTCGGGACAAAGTCCATGGCGTGTCAATTACCAATTACCCATCTCAAATGGCAAATCATAATACTGAGTTAATTTGAAAACCTTTTCGAAAAAACTTCCTGAGGCTAAAGTTTTCGAATTTATTCCCAAAATATTGTCGTGAGCGCTCACCTCACACACAAAAAGGGCGCTGGTGAGAAAAATGTTTCGAACAACCTCCCGCGTGTGCACAGAGAGAGAGTAGAAGGAAAAATTCTGGAAAATGGTGAGGAAAATAGGCATTTGCAATGGAACGAAGAGAAAACTACTAGCGATAGGTTTAGAGAAAAAAAAACACGTTTCTAAGCGATAACTCTGGTGAGAATAAAGTCCCGTTTATTCTGCCTTTTACTTCTGACGAAATAGGTGCAGTCCTAAAACGTTGCTTAAGAATGGCCGATCCAGAGAAATTGGTAGCAGCGATAGAAATCGCACCAGACACTTTAAGAAACCAAGTAGTCGGTAACCACGTATATTATCGTCTATGGAGAACGAAAAATTGCATAATAGGGTGCAACGGTAGAGACGGTGATTGCATGAGCTCGGGTTCGTTTTATCTAACCTCTTCTAAAGCGTGTGGAAAGAATGCACTGGCCAAAGAGTTAGACCACACCGCGACCATATAAAAGGTTACCTAGTCGGTGAACTTAAACTTAAACCAAATACTCCACTGGACGTTCATGCTACACAAAGACATGAAGTGGGAATATTTTGAAGTGTAGAAAATTCTCGAGGCATTCTCGATTAATTCCAAGAATCCGAAAATGAACCGCAGGGAAGAATGCCTCATTATCACCCGTGATACTGGATGGTATTTAAGACTGTTGCTTTGATGTGAGAGGTACTTTACGCTTACATGTGAACTCTATGCGGTTGGTCTCCATGTTA